AAAAACTGTATTCTGAGGTTGCTAGTATCTACAGTAAGAATAAAACTTTTTTTCCATGAAATTTAAAAGGGGGAAAAATTGGTGCTAGTAAACTATAAATCTACAGCCACAGAGCAGGATGAGTGCTTAGTTAAGACGGAAAAGGCATTACATTTGTGAGTGGAAGTTATGAACAGAAACAGTGTGATTGACAGTAATCAGTTTGGGTATGATCCACTGTTTCACTGGCATCTACTAGCGGTCTTGGAACTCATCCCCCATGAATAAGGGAGGACTACTGTAATACTAATGTATGTACTCTGTCAAAATTTAAGAAAATGTGAGAAATTACAAAAAAATTTTAAACAATCCCCCATCCTACCACCAAAAGACCACAGTGTTAATAATGCTTTCCGGTCTTCTCACTGCAGACCTGTGAAGTCAGGATGAGAGTAGGTGCAGGCCAGATGTGAACACAGCACCGCCCAGGTGTGCCTCACTGGCCCACTTGCTTGTACAACTGTTCGTGACAGGATGGCATGGGCCTAGAATCTAAGAAAGAGCAGCAAAGATATACCACCTTCCAAATCAACAATATATGTTTAAGCAATTCCTAGGTGAGGGTCAGTGCAGCGGTCCAGAGTATCCAGTCCTGGGTGCTATTAAGTGCTCTGCCACTTAATAGTTCTGATTTTAGATGAGCCACTTAACCTTTTGAGCCCATTTCCTCCTCCATAAACTGGGAGTGCCTACAGTATCTTGCTCTTGGGCTGATGCATGTGAAGTGGTTAATACTGCCTGTCCTGCAGTAGGCTTCTATTAATGTAGGGTTTTAATATATGCACAGGGATGGCATATAAACAACTTAAAATAACAGCTATCATTTATGGAAGCTGTATAGTACTAAATGCCTTCTGTGGAATACCTCATGCAATGTTTACAATAATCCAATGAAGTATAATCCCCATTTTTGCAGATGAGAAAACTGACGTTTGGTGGGGGGTTAAGTGACATGCCCAAGGTCACATTAGAAGTAAGGTGGGAATCAGGCTTTGAACTCAGGAAGTTTGACTTCTACTCACTCCTTAACTTCTCACACTAAATGTTAACTTGATAAATTTTGACATTTAGCACCCCTGAGTGGGTGTGATTGGTTCGTTATTATTATTTTTAGAGACAGGATCATATGCTGTCATCCATGCTAGAGTGCAGTGGTGCAGCCATAGCTTACTGCAACCTCAAACTCCTGGGCTCAAGTGATCCTCCCACCTCAGCCTCCAGAGTAGCTAGGACTACAGACATCTGCCACCACACCTGGCTAGTTATAAAATTATTTGTAGAGACATTGGTCTCGAAATCCTAGCCTAAAGTGATCTTCTCATTGGGATTGCCTTCTCACTGGGATCAAAGCACTGGGATTACAGGCGTGAGCCACCGTGCCTGACGTGGTTGGTTTTCTGAAGTTAGAATATTACATACAGTTTTCAAAATATAAAACAAACAAGGGATGGCTGGGTGTATATGGGTGGTTATATATATGGGAAATGTTTGACTCTCTTGAAGCAGAATGCTAGGTTTCATCAGAACACAGTTTAAAGACTCCTGGGGGAAGTTTACTGTTGGGCAGTTCTAATTGTTGGAAAGTTCCTTCCTGTATCAAAGCTGATTTTCTTTTTCTTTTTTCTACCCTAATTCCAACGTTTGAAACCAACTCAGAATAAGTCTCATTTTTCTTCCACATTGGTGATTTTCAAAATGCAAGTCATAGTCTACAGTCTTTTGTGAAGTTTTAGCTGTGGTGGGTCACAATGTAAAACGCATATACCATGAGTCACAGTCAAAATGTTCGATATGACTATTCTGCAAGAATTTGAAGGCGGTTGTCACACCCCACCACCTAAAGACTGATCTTCTCTGCATGGGACCTCCTTGGCTTTTGCCACAACTCCTCGCTGCACGGGAGCTCCTTTTCCTCACCGTACCAGGGCATCGACCTATGGTCCTGTCACCAAATTCACAAGACTCTCTGCACAAACCTTCTTAGGGATGACTTCCCTGACCACCCACTCTTAAGAAGTACCAACCCATCTCTCTCTAGCCCCTTACTCTGCTTTAACTTTTTCAAAGCACTTTTTACTACCCAACATTACATTGTGCGTTTATTACTTTACTTGTTTATGATCTTCCCGGATACAAAGTTCATCTCTAAATCTTCAGTCTATTTCCTGGCATATAGTATTTGCTCAATTGGCTGGGCATAGTGGCTCACATCTGTAATCCCAGCACTTTGGGAGGCTGAGGGGGAAGGATGGCTTGAGACAGAAGTCCAAGACTAGCCTGGGCAACAAAGCGAGGCCCTATCACTACAAAAATAACAATAATAATAATTGTAATGAGTAATTTTTTAAAATAGTATTTTATCCATAAATATTTGTGGAATGAATGAATGAATACTAGAGGTAGGCACATTTTGGTAATAGTGTGTACAGATGTGCTCATAATTCCTTCAGGATTTAGATTCTATAAGGACCGCTCATATGCTTACAACTATAGGCACAGTTTCATTTTATCATTTCATAATTTTTAAAAACGTTATATATGCTAAGTATTATCACATAATTACATTATACATGTTGCTGTACAGGGTATATCAACATGTGGTAAACTGTGTACGTTACTTTAGATGGAATATTTTGGATGTCCTGAGTAGTTTCCACTGTAGGTGATTTTTGTCTGCTCAGTTATAAGCATCTTGGAAGTAGTTTACACTTTTTCAAAGCACTCTCAGGTAAATAACCCATTCCATAGTTTTCACAGGCTGAGAAAGTGTGTCAGAGAGCTGGAAGGAAATTTAGCGGCGGGCTAGTGGCCACCAGATTCCAATCTCACCCTTTCGTTTTACAGACGGGTAAATCGAGGCCCAGAGCAGGGAAGACGTTTGCTGAGGGACACCCCATAAGCTGGGGTGGACCTGGGAGTAGAAATCAGGCCTTCGGCTTCCACCGACTGCCAGGCACAGAAGCCCTCCAGGTGGCTAAGCCAGATGGGTCGGACGCCCACGCCTCTTGCAGGAGCTCGGTAGAGCAGGCAGACCCTGGTTGTCACCATTTTTCAGGTGGGAACACCGAGGGCACGTCCCAAGGCAAGGGCACCTCCCACGGTGGCTTCTTCCCGCCCTAGGGCTCCACCTAGCTCGGCCCTGGAATTCCGCACGCAGCCGGAGGGCGTCCCATGTGGTGCGCCGCGTCCTCCTCCCCACGACCTCAGGGGCTGGTCCCCTCAGCCGGAACTGCCTCCTACCTGGTCGGGTCCCAGGAGCTGAATCTGGCCAGCCCAACCTCCCGGTCGCTATGGCAACCATAGGCCTAACATTGGCTAGCCCACCTTCCGCCCTCCGCGGGATAAATCCAGCCAATAGCATCCTCTGTTTCTGTAGCGTGAAAAGTTGTTGGCCAATCGTTAGAGGCGTTTCAAAGTCCTCAGAGACGCTGGCAGAATTTTAGGGCTTAGGTTAATTGTATCAGGACGTTTGGCGGGGTGGGGAACTAATGCATATTTATCTAGGTGACGCCTCAAAAATCTTGTGATAAACCAAAAGCCTTAGAATTTTGCTCACTCAAAAATCCTGCTTCAAGGAATATGCCTGAGAATTACCATTCATCCAAGCCCTGCTTCTAACAGCAAAAAAAGATTGACATGGGCGAATAGACAAGGGCAGCCACTTAATATTTATTCCAAGAACCTCTCTTCACACGCTTCAGGGCAGGGTGGTCACAGCGATCTTGTCACTTCCCTGCTTAAAGTCCTCCAATGGCTCCTCTTTAAATTTAGGGTGAAATCTGAGTTTGTTTTTCGACGGGGTCTCGCTCAGTCGCCCAGGCTGGAGTGCAGTGGCGCCATCTCTGCTCGCTGCAACCTCCGCCTCCCGGGTTCAAGAGATCCTCCCGCCTGCGCCTCCTGAGTAGTTGGGACCACAGGCGCTCGCCACCACGCCCGGCTAATTTTTAAATTTTTTTGTAGCGATGTTGCCCAGGCTGGTCTCAAACCCCCGGGGCTTAGGTGATCCTCCCGACCTCCTAAAGTCCTGAGATTACAGGCGTCAGCCACAGTGCCGAGCCCCAAACACATTATTTATAAACTATCCCCTGCCCGTTCCTCAGATCGCAGCCCCAAACCATATCTCCGGAAAAATCTCTCACCAGCCCTGCTGGCCTTCGGGCAGTTCCTACAATGAACCGGCTCCTTCACTCTCTCCCAAGTTCCCCAGGAGCTTTCCCTGCCCCAGGATCTGAGACCAGAACTGCCTCTTTCTCATTGTTGATGTCTGGGCCCAAATGACATTTCTTCATTTGTAAAACGGGCTTCATGTCTCAACTGGTGGCTGTGAGGATCTGAAAGCAAATGCGTGTACATAACAACGTGTGAGCAATGAGAAGCTTTTTGTCATCTGTTAATCTCCATGAGCATGTTGATTATCACAGCCGTTATAATTACGTGCATTATGGAAACACTAACCAAGCACTAGGCTCCAACAGGTGTTCCGAGAGGGCGGGAAAGGAGAGAAATATTTGGCCCCAAGTACTGGCGAGGGCTCTAGGGAGAGCTGGGTCTTCAAGGACGTTTTAGATTTGAATACTTGGTGAAGGTGTGGGGTAGGGGAACAGCAGGAGCACAGCTGGGAAGGTAGCTATGAAGTTAAGAAGGGAGGACACCTAGCAGGCTGCTAAAACCAGGCCCACCTGTCGGACAGGTGAGGGCGAGCAAATCACCTGAGCTCTCTAGGATAGGGAAACGGGGTAGAGGAGTCGCCGCAACATCCTTCCTGTGGCCGCTAGAGGGCCCCCGCTCCAGGTGAGCGCCAAGCTCTAGCCCCAGGTCGCTCCCCTACCCTTCAAGCAAGCTTTGCAGTGCAGCCAATTGCCGGGGGCTGTCCCGCCCATCCCCCTCCTCGCAGCCACTCGCCTGCGCGAAGTGCCTGCCAACTTCTGACTGGCAGGCAGTCTGGCAAATCAAATCGCGACCTTTGAAAGCAAAACACTGCAGCATCTTGGCAGCTCTGAGTCGGGAAGGGATCAGGGAGGCTGTGCCTCCGGGTTGCACAGAGTCCGAGTCATTTCTCAGAAGGTTTTGATAGGTGGGCCTTAGAGGAGACGCCGTCGGTGAGTAGTGATTAACAGTGGGAGGAAGGGGAATTGAATTTAGCCTTAGCTTTTTTCAGGAAAAAGCGAAGTCACCTAACGTCCCCTAGTGTACATACACTGCCTTCTTGCTGCCTCGTCAACCTGGGTCCCGTTGCCTCAGAATGCTCTTTCCAGTTTTGCCTCGAGACTAAGAGGAACGGGGGCACGGGCTACCTTAATAAAGGTGATGCCAGGCTCCACCAAACCAGGAAGTGACATGGAGTAACTTTGCCAGAATTTCTCCTCTTCGTGCCGAGCGGCTCAGGCTTCCTGGCGGCAGCAGATGGTGGAGTTAGCAGGTGGGATGAGGGGAGGCGATCTTGGTCTAAGCCCGCTTCTGGAACAGAGGTGCTGTCTCCTCGAGTCGTAGAGTTTCCAGCTCAATGGGAGGGGACGGAAGAATATAACCTTCTCGTGAGCCAAAGCCCAGAAACGGGAAGGTTAGCAGGGAACTGGCGCTTACCTCCAGAAGCCAGATCGTCAGGTGGTGGGGAAGAGGCAAATTCGAATACAGACCTTACCCTGAGCGGCCGTGAGCCCTGCTCTGTCATCTGTAAAACGTGGTCTGTGGAACTGATGGAATCCGTCATCGAGATAAGCAGAGGGTGGATGGAAGCAAAGCACCTAGTGAATTCTCATTCCTTTCGCCTGCTTTAAGTGTGAGGTGGCTGACAACGCAGAGCTGACTGCTTGCCTCTGGACATGTGTAGGTCCTGGAGAAGTGCTTGGAAACCCGGAAAAGAGAGTCACAGGCGAAGAATGTGTGTCTTATAAGGGAATACAGCTTGCAAAGGGTTCCTCCAGGCTTTCAGTCCGGACTCCTACCCAGCTGAGGGAGAGCCTTCTGTCTTTGCAGACAATGCCCCAGAGGCCTGGGAGTTCCCGAGGCAGAGAGGGAAGCTGCTTTTTAAAAGAAAAAATAAACCGCAGCAATGCCAACCACTACTAACAAAAGCCAGACCAGAAAAGCACTTGGGCAAACTCACTGGTCTAAAGGATGTTAGGCGGCCTGGGTTCCCACCATCCCCTTGACTGACATGTCCCTAGGGTCTGTTGGCTTTCTCTGACCTTCTGCGGGTAGGGCTGAGTATATCTGTTTGTTGGAGCTCTGGAGTTGTGGTTGATTAGGCCTTAGTAAGGCATTCTTGACTGTGAAGTGGCCACAGCAAACCAGGTTCTTAACTGGCCTGCATTTAGTCAGTCGGTTGGTATGTATGTAAGTCACTGTCAGGCTTGGGGCTAGATCTCAGCTGGAAGCAACCGAAAGGGTATTCCACAAATACCTCACTGGAGTTTGCACTCCTGTGCCCCCTCAACTCCATGACTGCTTCGTGGCTGAATGCTTCCCAGGGCCTCTCAGAGGTAGAAAGAGCCCTGAGCCACTCTTAAGGCTCTTATGATTATTAAAAATGCTTAAAACAGTTTTACAGAAATTTAACACAATAATGCTTTTCATGTGCACGTGAAAGTATAGTGAATAATTATGCTTTCCACAAGACTGCAAACACATATTCACAGGGTTTTGCAGTCAGGGAAGTCTAGTTGTGGGATGTGAATTACCTGATGAAGTTACCTGATGAATGCAAACATCTCCTGTCTGTACACTGGCTATATAACCTTGCCTGCAGGTAGTAGCAATAATTTAATCCTGGCGCCCTCTGACAAAGTGAACCAGGCCAAATGGTTTCTGTAGCTGTCCCTGTGCTAAACCTGCATCTGTTGTTTCCTAGTACTGGACATGATGTTTGCCTTAAGACCTGTGCATGTGCTGTTTACACCATGAACCAGGATTCCTGGGCCTAGGGCTGGATAGCAGAAGAAACTGGAAGCTGCAGGATACACAGGTGGCAGCTCCCTGAAGCCTCAGGTAGTGGCAGAAATTGTTTAGCTCACAGTGAGCCCTCAGCAAATATTTGTTGAATGAACGCATGAGAGAGAAAAATGAGCAAAATAAATTATTAAACAGGGGAGAATACAATTCATCCTAACAGCAGCTCACATTCATCGACCATTTGCTATGCCTGCATTTTACATGTATTGTTTCATCAAATTTTCATAACTGCCATGTGGGGTGGGAACATTATTATCTGTATTTCCCAGCTGCAGAAACTGGCTGAAAAGTTAAATGACCTGGCAGAGGTAAAACAGGTAGCATGTAGCACATCAAAAGCAATTTAAAACATTTTTTTCTATTAAAATAAACATAAACTATGCAGTAGAATACATTTTTTAAAAATATATACAAAGTCCTCAAAGAAACCCCTAACACTTTTAAGTAGGGTTTTGGCCATGCCTCCGAGAACACTGGGAGTGTACTTTCTCTTCTCTGTTTGGTAGAAAAGTTTTATAAGTGGCACATACCTGTAATCCCAGCACTTTGGGAGACTGAGGCAAGTGGATTGCTTGAGCCCAGGAGTTCAAGACCAGCCTGATAACATGGCAAAACTCTGTCTCTACAAAAAAATTAGCCAGGCCTGGTGGCACGCGTCTGAGGTCCCAGCTACTTGGGAGGCTGAGGGAGAATCACTTGAGCCCAGCCAGTCGAGGCCATGTTCGTGCCACTGCACTCCTGGGTGGCAGAGTGAGATTCTTTCTCCAAAAAAAAGGAAAAGTTCAAGAAGCACTGAAAATATAAGTCCAATGAAATTAACAGGGATTATCATCATTGCTAGGTTTATTTGAGGCCACATTGTTACCCCCACTTTACAGATGAGGCAGCTGAATCTCTGAGGGGCAAAGTTACCTGGTCACACAGGTTTTCTACGTCTGAGACCAGTGTTTCCTCACCTGTGTCAGGCCAACCCTTGGTAACAGGCCAGTTCTAACGTCTTCCACGGAAGTAACTTTTCTTTGAATTCTTTTCTTCCTAAGTTGAAACTTACATGGTTCCCTTTTTGTGGTAGTGGAATTTTTTTTTTTTTTTTGAGACCTGGAGAAGTAGACATGGTTAGTATTCTACTTCTTGTGCTCAAGAGCTATGGAAAAAGGGAGGATTTAAATTAGGATGCAATGGGAGGAAGGAAGCAGAGGAGAAGAGGAAAGAGGACATTTAAGAGCCAGGGAGAAAGCTTTGGAGATAGATGAGTCACGTTTTTATTAAGGGGAGGACAAAAGCCTGATAGAACTTGTTTTTAACCCCTAGGATTTGGATTTTGAAGAATTTGTTAAATGGCCTCACTTGTCACGGCCAGTTATGCTGTGTCTGAATGGTATTCTCTTCTCAGGTAACAAAGCTGGGCTCAGTGTTTCCTTGTCCATGCATTTTTAATGTTCCTCTCCAGCACCCTAGAGCACCGCAAGAATTGGAAAACACACCCCTCTCTGTGTGCCTGGGAAACACGGAAATAGGCACTTCTCTGAGCGAAGCTGAGGAGAATGCTGTAAATCAGCCAAAGGAGCCTCGAAGTACTCTTTTGGTGTGAGGAAGAGATGGCTGCTGGAGGGAGGTGAACACCACGAGGAGAGATGGCATCTACCCTGAGTCCCGCCTAGCAGCAGTTCCAGCCCCTGAGCCAGGCCTGGCACCATGAGCCACTAGACCACCATGGATGGAGCCCACAGCGCAGCCCTGCAGCTGCAGCAGCTGCCTCCCACAAGCAGCGCCAGCGCCGTGAGTGAGGCCTCCTTCTCCTACAAGGCAAGGGCTTTTGTTGGGTTTGGGAATTTGTATTTTTCTAACAAGAAAGTTACGCAGTGCTCTGCACTGGCTTATGGGGTCTGCATGCCTGTCACTGGCAGAAACAGGCAGGCCCTTCACACAGACAAGGGAATGTGTATTCCAAAGAAAAGAGATGCTCACTGAACTACATAAAAATAAGGAGGCAGAGGCTGAGTGCAGTGGTTCTCACCTGTAATCCCAGTTCTTTGGGAAACTGAGGCAGGTGGATCTCCTGAGGTCAGGAGTTCAAGAGCAGCCTGACCAACATGGAGAAACCTCATCTCTATGAAAAATGCAAAATTAGCCAGGTGTGGTGGTGCATTCCTGTAATCCCAGCTACTCGGGAACCTGAGGCAGGAGAATCGCTTGAACCTGGGAGGCTGAGGTTGCAGTGAGCCAAGATCACGCCATTGCACTCCAGCCTGGGCAACAAGAGTGAAACTCCATTCCTAAATAAATAAATAAATAAGAAGGCAGAGAAACACCATAAAAGGTAGAGAATAAAAGGAATGCATTCCCACTTAGATTTGATTTTTAAAAAATCATGTACTCTGGGCTGGGTATGGTGGCTCATGTCTGTAATCTCAGCATGTTGGGAGGCCAAGGTAGGAGCATCTTTTGAGGCCAGAAGTTTGTAACCAGCCTGGGCAATGTAGCAAGACCCTGTCTATACAAAAAATTTGAATATTTGCCAGGCGTGCTGGCATGCATCTGTAGTCCTAACTATTCAGGAGGCTGAGATGGGAGGATAGCTTGCGCCTAAGAGTAGTTTGAAGGTACTGTGAGCTATGATTGTACCACTGCACTCTAGCCTGGGTGACAGAGCAAGACCGTGTTGCTAAGAAAAAAAACAAATATGTGTGTGTGTGTGTGTGTGTGTGTGTGTGTGTGTGTATCACCTACTCTATTACTTGGGAATAATTTTCATTCATATTTCAGTGTATCTCCTTGTTTTTTTCTAGTAATTTGGGGTCACATTGCACATAAAGTTTTGCTTCTTGGTTGTTTAACTTGACCTTACTTGTGGAATATTTCCTCATATCATTGAGTAGTGACTGAAAGCAAACTTTTTGAATGATTGCCCAATAATCTGTTGAGCTACTATGTCAAAATGTGCTCCACAGATCCTCTATTGCTGGATATTCAGGTTGCTTCTAATCTGGAGTGGCCATATGAACCTTCTGGACGGTTAATCTCTGTGCTGATCTCTGATTCTTTCCTTAGATATAGTCATATAGGTACAATGAATAGTCGAAGGGAATAAACCTTTTTTAAAAAGGGGGTTTTAATGTCAAATTTAAGTGTTTCTAAACACCAACCAATGCAGCATCTGATGACTTGGATTTATTGAAAATTATTTTTTTAAAGATCAGAGAGGCTGGGCATGGTGGCTCACACCTATAACCTCAGCACTTTGGGAAGTCAAGATGGGTGGATGGCTTGACTTCAGGAGTTTAAGACCAGCCTGGGCAAACATGGTGAAACCCTGTCTCTACCAAAAATACAAATAATTAACCAGGCATGGTAGTGCACACCTGTGGTCCTAGCTACTTGGGAGGCTGAGTGGGGAGGATCACTTGAGCCCAGGAGGCAGAGGTTGCAATGAGTCAAGATCACACCACTGGACTCCTGCCTGGGTGACAGAGTGAGACCCCCATCTCAAAAAAAAAAGAAAAAGAAAAAAAAAAGATTAGAGACTGCTAAGACCCTAGAGCTAAAGGAGACTCTAGAGATCATCTCATCAAGCCTCTCATTTTATAGATTGGGACAGTGAGGCTGGGAGGTGAGAAGTGACATACTTCAGATCCTATAGCAAGTTGAGAGGCAGAGCTAGAACTGTTGTTAATTTTAGATAATCATGATGAACCGAATAATAATGACTAATATTTATTGAGCATGTATTCTATCCCAGGTACTGTGCTGAGTTGGTCACATGCCTTTCCTTGGGTAATCTTCACACTAGCACTATACAGTAGATCCAGTTTTCCTCTTTGGTAACATGGGGATCATAATAGTAACTGCCTCCTGGTGGTGGTGAGGACGAAATGAATTTATTCATGTGAAGCAGCACTTAGGCAATGTCCCACACATCATGGCCAACGCTTGTCAAGGGCTAGCAGTTACCACCTTCATCCCCACTTTAGTACAAGGAAAATGAGACACAGAGAGGTTCTATAATGGTCCTGACTGGCACAGCTAGTAAGTTGTGCAACCAGAATTTAAACCTAGGTCAGACCGGCTGCAGAACCCATGCCCCTAACTTTGGCGCTGTTCCGCCTCTCTGGTGTCCTGACTCCTACTGCCGCCACCACACCCCAGTGTGCCCAAGGAGGGGACTGTGCAGATCATTGAAGGGCTTTTGTCATTTTAATTCCATCTGACCAGCCAGGTGGAATATATATGGAAATTATGAACCTTTGTCTGGAATTAGACTCATTCTAGAGGCGAAGAGTGACTCTGACATTCTCAGCAGACTCTGCCTCACCGAGCAGTGAGTTTCAGAGCTAAGATGGCGTGATCATTTCAGCATTGGCATCTCGCTCCTTGATCTTCTTTCCGTGAAAGCTTGTTGTCTCCCCTTCCTATGTGGCTGCTATATTCATCTAGGGCTCTGTTGGGAAGAGTATCAGACTGAGGACTAGGAGACCTGAGTTCTTGGCCCAGCTCTGTCATCCCTGGCTATGTGATCTTGGGCAAGTGTCATCCCTTCTCTACGCCTCAGTTTCTGTCTCTGTAAAATGAAGAGGCAGAGTTCATAGATGGTCTCCAGTCCTGCCTAACCACCTGAAATACCTGGGGAGCTCAAGAATATGCAGATTTCTAGGCCTCAGACTCATCTCTCTCTGCCCACCCTTTCACCCCCTCATCTCTACCTGCCTGCAAATTGTGGTTTTGCAAAACTAAGCTAGAAGCCCAGAACCTGCATTTTGTAAAACCTCTTCAGGTGAATCAATCAGCCAGGTGTGGGAATTTCTGGACCACATGATCTACTAAGCTCCTTCCCACACCAGCTCCACCATCCTGAGAAATCGAGATCTCAGGCTACCACGTCTTAGTCAGCACTGATATTCAAAGTCAGCAAAACACTCTTTCAAGTAGGCAGTGACACTGTTCCCCTCCTTGGAGGTGTCTACTTGCTTCACAGAGCATTATTCAAATGGAGCAGGATTTCAAGTCAGAAAATACTTTTCCTGACTGGCCTTTTTATTAAAGTAGGGTATACATACAGAAAAATATACAAATGTTAAGCTCTAGATGTTAAATTTTAATGAAGAGGGTGCATATGTGTTATTGACGCCCAAATCAAGAAACGGAACATTACTAGTACCCGAAAGTCTCCTTGTGCCCCCTGCTAGTCACTTCCCTCCTCTCAGGGGTAATCACCCTCTCTTCAAGTCAGAAAACACATTGATGGATGGCACAGTCTTGACTTCAGAGGAAATTCAGGAGCTACTGGTCAGCCTGAGTGAATACCACCAGGGCCTTAAATATTGAAGGTGCTGAGTGTGTTCATTCTGTGAAGGAACCAGAGCATTCCATTCTGCTTTTGGTATTCAGAGTCTAAACCATTTCTAATGTAATGATAGAAGCTGTTCTCTTGAGTTATGGAGATGATGGAGTGACAGCATGGATGGCTAAGGCCATTGAAGAAGATTTTTGTTATTTACGTTTCCTAAAAGAAGGAGGCACATCATGCTGTGGAGGGCCTCATGGGACACACCAAGGTCAGTTGGTCAGAGGCAGAGAGCACGTGGGGAAAGCTTAGATCAGGGCCTTTATTGTGTTTTCTGTGGGAAAGGCATGGCAGGACAGGGAGAACAGTTTAGGACTGGCTGATTTGAAGAACTGTGGGTTGTCTGGTACATAGCCCTGGGCTGACGTAGAGCAGGGGAAATATTGACCTGGGTGTGCGAGTTTAATAAGGAGATGATTGCAGCTCTGGATTGGTTAGTTAGCATATGAAAGGCATGCTCCTTAGAATATAAAAAATCAGTTAATGCAATGGACCCTGTGAAGAATGGATGCCAAATGGTCAAATATAAGAATCTAAGAAAACTCAGAGCACTCTCCTTGATGAGATTTCTAGTAAGTTTCCATTTTAATCTCAAATACAATTCAGTTGCCTAGTATGGAGTATCTTCATGGCAGAGCAAAGATGAATAGGTCAAGGTGACTCTACCAAGGATGTTTGAATTGAGGTGAGGGGCAGGCAAGATTGTGATGATGCTTGAGCTGACTGAAGTACTGGGTGGGGTAAAGATGACCTGGGTCCAAATCCCCACTCTGTTCCTTCTTAGCTAAGTGACCTTGGGTGTAGGATGCATCCTCACAGAGCTCCCGTTATCTCATCTGAAGAATGATGGTTTTCATTCTTCCCTCCCAACAGCTGTGTGGATCAATGAAAAAGCACCTAACCCAATGTCTGCCCACATACTAGGCATGCAGGAAGCATGTGACTTGGAAATGCCACAGGGTTTCCAAGAGGAAGGTACACAAAGTAGAGGGGAAGGTGTGGTTAATTCTGTGTGGGGGTGGGGAGCGGGGTTTTAAGGGAAAGATGTCTCCTTTCTCCATTTTGTTAAGGCTAATTTGATTGCAAGGAGTAAAAACCCATTTTAGAGAAGCTGAGGCAAAAAGGGAAATTTTTATAAGGCTACAGGGTAGCTCATGAAATCCAGTGGTAGGGAAGACAGTGGGGCTTGGAAGGTGCTAGAACTCATACCTCCCCTTCAAAAGAGGGAAGACCTGAGTGGCCAGCTTGGGTAAGGTGTCCACCTGGTCCAGTGAGCGATGGCCAGGGAGTGCCACCCACCTGATGCCAGCTGGCAAACATGGTTTCTGAGGCTTTACTTTTACAGGGAGGTCTCAGAAAAGTGGTCATGTGGACTGGGCAGGCTGCCCCCAACTCATCTGTTACCTTTGGGAGGAGGAATATATTGAGAGACTCTAAGTCCAGCTTGATGGGTGGGATGAAGTTA